TGTGGATAGAAGCTATGGGCCATGCTGAAAAAAAATGATGCAAGATTTAGAGGTTAGAATTCGGCACTGAACTCACCACTTTATCCACTAGCCATGTCACCTCCCAGTAATAATGGGCACACAGTGTGCAGCGACTCAAAGAGAATGGTATCTTGATCAGATCGTTCTTTAGCTTTTGATTTCAAATGCAAGATGAAGCATAACCACAGAGACGTGGGTGGAAGGTGTCAGTGCCTTTAAGTAGTTCTTTTCCCACAGCTAAGAAAAATTCATATGCAGTCAGACTACCCAGGCTACAAAATTCAGTCATGAATTTGCTACGGTGTATTTAAACTCAAACATTTTTGTCTAAGAGTTACTAGCACTCAGACACCTCTATTATTTTATGTCTTGACAGCTTCCTATTACTTCAATTTAGTTTAGGATCACATTCCTGTGACACTGCAACTCAGGTCCCATGTGTTTTGTCATCTGTACCACATGCAATCCTATCTTACACGTCATATATATTTCAGGACACTCAGAAAATAACTGAATAGTTTCAAAATGAACCTTACAGTATATGTCCCTTTTGAAACAGCTCAGTATGGTTTCAGTAAGAGATGGGCCATATAAGAAAGCTGAAATACTCTCTTCATCTCTACTACACACAAATGTTAAAAATATGCTTTTCTCTCCCAGATTTCCTTACTGGAGAGATTTGTACATACCTGGCACAAAGACTGTCTCTCCTGGTTTCTGTAAGATTTCCAGGGGTTTGAACTCAGGAGGCCAGGTGGGGAGCTGCGTCCTTGGATAGATGACATTGAACCAAGTGATGGCCTCATCCTGCTGGTTCCCTCCCTCTTCTCGTGTCACTTTGATCAGCTCTCGGGGAGTGCTGGTAGGGAACAGGCACCAACGCTTGTGTCCCTGGACTAAGGCATTCCATGCACTCGTTCCCAAGGGATCGATGTGAATTCCTGTTCCAGATCGAGGTGGGCCCATCACAAACCATCTGCATGGGGGAAATAAAAAAAATCCTTTAGTCACAGAGCAAGCAAGTTGTTATCTTCTCTCTTCCAAGTTTCAGTTCCTTCATTCACCTTATTGAGATTGTTAGGCTCACACTACACCAATAAGATATGACACATGGGATTAACCTAAAAATAAACATGGATTTAGGACAGGAATGACTCTGGGACAAAAAAAGTGAAGATAGCTTTTTATATTTCACCACTGTGTTTTGTTTTAAACAGTTCTTCAATAAAATAGTCACATTCAAAAACCTTGAAATCACTAAGTCGCAACAGCTTGCATTAGGATTCTTATTATGCAGGGGGATTCTCCTAGTCCTAGTTTTTCTAAAATTTGCTACTCATAAATGGATCCAGAAACACAGAACACCAAGGAACAAACAAAAGGCAATACAAGTAAGGAACAGAGCAAAGTTACACAACCCTGGTCTCCCTCTATGCCTTCTGTTCACTTACAACAGGCTTTTCATTCTAACATTTAACTAGATGGAGCTTATTCTCCAGTGACCATTCAGGATTTGGCGTGTATATTCTCATTCCCCATTTGCAAGGTTTATTCCTCCCAATGGAGAACTTTATCTACTATACATGTTTAACAGCAGCAGCACCTTCAATTGTTCATTTCCCCTGTAACAGCACAGTAAGATCTACCATACCAGATAAAGCAGCATAAGTGAGGTGACTTAGTATCAGGCATCAAAAGAAAAAATATGGCAATAATTATTTAATGGGCAGTAAAGAGGATATAAACTAGAGCACCAACAAGATCCCTCCATCACATGGCTGACAAGCAGGTGATACCCAGCAAGAGGAGTTCAAAGGTTCAGAAAATACCAGAAGTCAGCAAGCTCTCCATCTCCCCCTTCCAATGCAGGTGTAAATCAAGCTGGTTGTCAAGTATCATTTTCTAGCACCTACTGTAGGACTGTAAGTTTGTTTATCAAGCTGCGCTCTTCCTACCCCATAAAGGAGCCATAAAAAGGTAAATAAGCAGGTGCTTGTCACTTCTATTGTCAATTCGCTCTTTAGATTCATATTAGCCTTGGAAAGATAATTAAACCACAAGCAGAACAGTCAAAGCTTTCCTGAAGAAGTCAGAAGAAATTAAACACATAAAAATCTGCCCGGTACACAGAGAGACACACTGCTCAATATAATTTTTCTGACTATAACCTGAACCTACACAGGCAGAAGATTAGGAAACCCTTATTTAGCAACACTGTAATTTACCAGCATCTTCCTCCAGGCATTTAATTTACAATGAACATAACCCAGTTTGCCACAAGACATCAAATTTACCATTAAAACCTTCACAACCTATAAGTTCAATTTAAAAACAAAAACTACAAACCCCAACATACCTCTCCTAAACTAAAATAGCTTCTTCAGTAAATGTCTTCCAGAAATTACTGCCTTTATTTCAAAGAGGAACAACTCCAATAAAGATGCTCTGAACCGCAGAAGTTCCTACGTTAAGGTCTACATGCTATTACACACTTCTCAATCCAGGGGTCAATCTGCACAGTTCTTATCCTGATCATATGATTAGAAAGCACCACTTCTGGATGGATTTTCAATTATGCTCTTTAACTGCTGGATACTCTTCATCCGTTTCTGTACCTAGATGTGACCCCTAACTCCAGGAGGCATCAGTGCGCTCTCCTGCATCATTCATCTCAAAAAATGGTAACAGCCTCAAACAAACCCACATTTTCCAGAACAAAGTACAAGAATTGTGAATACCAAGATCACAAGCAAGGAGCTCAGCATGTGCCTGTAGGTGGGGAGGGTGTCGAGGAAAGAGCAATATAAGTGAGTCACAACCAGGTTATCTAGTTTACCTATAACTTGGAAAAACGATTGCCAGTTCTGTAAACATCTTCTGTTTCTACTAGAGACTACTGCTGGTGTGCTTTTGAGTTTGATCAAAGCATTGTATGTTCTTAGAAGTGAATTAAAAAGGGTCTGTTACAACACTGTAAACACACCTACTTCAGTGATCTTAAACAGCATTAGTTCTGCTTCACTCCTGCAAAAGCACACCTAGACTACTGACACGTGAGAGACTTGCAAAGAAAAGTACCATTATTCATTACTTGTTCTATTTTATTTAAAAAAAACCCCAAACAATGAGAAAACCCACATCACAGCCTCGTGTCGCTCAAAGGGCAAGGCATTCTCTGACAATTACAATGTCACTGTAAAGACTTTAATTACTTGGAAGCTTATGCTCATACTGCTATGAAGCATTATATTAACATAGATAAAAATCACTTTTGTACTTAACAGCCCAAATACAAGGTTGTGGCATTTGATTTCAGGATTGAAGTGTCATTTCAATCCTTTTCCAATCAGATGCAAAAAAAGAGTTGAAAAGACTACACGGATGTGAAATACTGTTATCTCTCAAAATCATCTAAAGGGGAGCTAAGGACCAGTCTCCACACACACTTCATACTCATCTAGCTTCAGATCTTTACCTTAAAAGAACCCATAATTAAACTAAATTCCGCACTATACATAAGCCACTGGTGCAAAACCCAGGAGCTAGTCTTGAGCTACGCAAAATCTGAAAGCCAGAAGGCACACATAGCAAGAAATTAATCCTCACAACCTTTATTAACTATGTAATTTTTTTAAAATCTAAAAAGCGAGGTAAACTTAATAAAAAAAACCCCAAACCCAAACTTGTAGCAATACTGGTGGCAGAACCAGAAATTAATTGTGATACACAAATCTGCCTTCCCTCTGTCTGCATATGCTCATTGCAGAAAAGCAGACATAAAGCTATTATTTTATACAAGACAATTATACTTATTTAGGAGTAGCTAATGAGATGGAAAATACCTACTTTTATCTTGCTGACACTGTACTGTACCTGTAAGGTGGCCTTCGTTTCTCCCCTGCATACTGAAAAAGATCATCAGTGAAGAATTTGGGTACTTTGTAGTCCTCCAAGAGTTTCCTTCGCTTGGGATGCTCTCCATAACTGCTGTCAAAGATGTAGAGTGGGCTGTCATCGCGTGTGGTTTCCATGTACTCTATGTAGTATTTCATCTTCATCTTCACAGAGTAACCGTCATTGTCCTCCCCACATTTGAACTTCTGGTTCCGATACTTGCGTTTCAGCCGCTCCAGAGTCCACTTCTCTTGGGCAGACCAGCCCACCTGGGCATTCAGCAAGACTACAGGCTTGTAAGGTTTTTCATAGCGCTCAACAAATTCCTCCACTGTTAACTGGAGTGCATCTGCCCTCTCCACGTTATCCTGTGGAAACCAAGACGAATACAGAACAGATATTAAAACAGACTAGCATGCTAGAGCTGCGCTTTCTAAGTCGGTGTGGAAGAGCTTCACACTCATACTTTGCTCCATACACCACGAGGGTATCAATCTGCCTACGTGTTATTTTAAGCTCCCCGAGGCAGCAGTCCTATTTCTCTTGCCCTACTCCTTTCACCCATCAGTAACACCAGCACCTGGCACTCCTCCCCACCGAGGCAACTCTCCGGGTGGAGAGGCCACCCCTGCCCTTTCGGCTGACACATCCCCTGCTGCATTTGCACCCCTCTCGCCGCCCCCGGAGAAAGCGCCTGGGAATTACGTGGGTGCTCTGGCACTGAGGGTGCCCATCCCACCCCGACGGGGCCCTGACCTCCCCGCACCCTCCACGCCACGTGGATGGAGATAAAAACGCGAGCGCTGTTGAACTTGACCTGACCCTCTCTCTCAGCGCCCCGGCCCAGCGCCCCCAGGGAGCCCCACCAGCTCTCAAAGCAGCCCCAGCCTCAAGAAAGAGCCCTTTCCCCGTTCCCATCCGACTTCCCCCGGCCCCCCTTGCCCCTCAGGCCTCCCCAGGACCCCCTCAGCCCCGCTGCCTGCAAGGTGCGCCCTGGCCGCGGCGACCTCGCCTCGCCTGAGGGGAACGGCGG